ATTTCTAGAAAAAAAGAGAGAACCGTTCAAAAACCGATTTTTAAATTTTCAAAGAAAAAAATCATAAAAATACAAAAAAAAAGAAAATATGATGATGAAATGGGTGAATAACTCGTGGAAAACTGGAAAAAAACCTGATGGTCTTTGAAGAAATGTTCTTTTTTTTCCAGTTTCTGATCTTTTGGATTTCAATTTTTTCCAAAAATGAAAATTCCTGACTTTCCTGTAATTTTATAAATTCTGAATTTTTTTTATTTCCAAAAATTCGAAATTCCAGGTATTCGGTATTATTGAATTTTCCAGGATTTCGGGATCATTTCTGAATTTTCTGGAAAAATCTGAATTTTTGGGATTTCAAATTTCTGAATTGTCGGAATTCCTAGATTTTTTTCCCGAATTTCCGAATTTCTGAATTTTTAAATTTCTGGATTTCTAAATTTCTGAATTTCTGAATTTCGGAGTTTTTGAATTTCTGAATTTCTGAATTTCTGAATTTCTGAATTTCTGAATTTCTGAATTTCTGAATTTCTGAATTTCTGAATTTCTGAATTTCTGAATTTCTGAATTTCTGAATTTCTGAATTTCTGAATTTCTGAATTTCTGAATTTCTGAATTTCTGAATTTCTGAATTTCTGAATTTCTGAATTTCTGAATTTCTGAATTTCTGAATTTCTGAATTTCTGAATTTCTGAATTTCTGAATTTCTGAATTTCTGAATTTCTGAATTTCTGAATTTCTGAATTTCTGAATTTCTGAATTTCTGAATTTCTGAATTTCTGAATTTCTGAATTTCTGAATTTCTGAATTTCTGAATTTCTGAATTTCTGAATTTCTGAATTTCTGAATTTTGTGGAAATTCTGAATTTTTGAAACTTTCCAGAACTTTCAGAATCTTTGAAATTGAGATTCTCAAAACTCAAAAACTCCAGAACTTCAGATTTTCGGGAGTTTGCAGTTTCGGAAATTCAGAATTATTGATGGCCTAGAAATCCGGATTTATTGGCCACCCCAAATGTTCTTCTTTGACCTTTCTGATTCCTAATAGATTCCCAGTACTCCATTATTTTTTATTATCACCATTTTTTTCCAATTTTCTCATTCCTTGTCCCACTTCTTTATCACCAACCCAAATTGGCCTTTCTAACCTAAAAAATGGGCGGGGCATAATTTTTTTCCAAAATTTTCAACTTTCACGTGATGGATAGCAGTACAAAAACGAGGGGATCGTACCTGAAGTTTCAGTCAGAAAATTCTAGATTTTTCTAGAAAAAAAGATGCAGCAAAAATTAATTTTCCGTCAAGCCGAAAAATCGGATGCGCCGGCAATTTTGGAATATTTATTGGAGCATTTTTTCCCAGAAGAGCCGTGTTCAAAGGTGAGCTACAGTATACCTACAGCATGCTTTTGTAGGTTCTGGGTACTACATTATCACTACAGTAATCCTGAAATTTAGATGACTATACTGTAGCTACTCTAGAGCTAAAGTATCCGAGTTACTACCGTAACCTAGAAACGTAGAATTGCCAAAATTTATAGCCACATTACCCCTAGTAACCTAGCAATTTTAGGCCCTAAAGCTGCACATTTCTGAAATCGAGCCAATCTACGAGTCTCTTATCGATCGCTGCCTCGATTTTCCATTTTCTACAGTAGTCGTTACGGATTCTGGAGACATTGTTGCGTGTCTTCTGAATTCTATTTGGAGACGTGAAGATGTGAGTTCTGATGGAGCCGATTATGAAGCGGAAGAGGGAGCTACAGAGAATATGACCAAGTTTTGTAAGTTTTTTTTTGGGTTACTTTTTTCCGTCAAGCCTACTGAAGTAGAATTTAGAATCGGGATTACTGTAGCGACTGGGGGTTACTTTCAGAATTATGATAACTTTGAGATTTCAAGACTCTATCATTCGAATTTTCCAAAATTTTTCGCTAAATTTATTATTTTTCAGTAAAAATGCTGAACCAATGTCATGAAGATTTCTGGTCCCTATCTCCATCAGACATTCACGTCGTGCTTCATCGTGAGATTTCCAGCGTTTCCGATGGCTTCAAAAGACGTGGAATCGCTACAAAAATGCTCACAGCTAACATGGAAAAACGAAAAATCGACGATTTCTGTGTTGGCGGAGTGATTTCTGAGACTTCATCGCACGCCAATCAAATTCTCTTGGAGAAGAATGGGTTCAAATGTCTAAAGGAGATACCGTACTCGAGCATTTTGGATTCTCAAGGAAATCAAATTCTGAAGACTGACGATGGTGCACAAGGACTTCGTTTAAATTTGAAGAGAATCGAACATTTCGAGTTATTGGATTAATTGATTGAATTGTTTTATGAAAATGAGAAGTCTGCTTTTCAGACTGTTTTCCTGTAATTATGGAATAAATTTTTTTTCTGAAAATCTTTTTTTCAATTTCAGCGTTTTTTTCTCGGACTTCTGTAATACAGAATTTCAGATATTTTGATTTTCGAATATCAAATTTTTAGAATTTTCGAATTTATAAGTTTCTGAAATTCGGAATTTTCTGGAAGTTCTCAAAATGTTCAATCTCAACTTTTTAAAATCTCAAAGTCTTAGGATTTCTGAATTTGAGAAACTAGGAATTTCAGAGCTCCAGAATTCTAGAATTTTAGAATTTCAGAATTTGAGAATTTCTGACTTTCCGAATTTATGATATTCCGAGGAGTTTCTGAATATCTCAATTTCTGAAATTCAGAGATTCTGAAGTTTCTGAATTCCTCCCCCCCCCCCCCCTGGAACTTCTGAAACCTGGAACTTCTGAATCTGATTGTTTGAATTTCTGAATCAAACCACTCTGGGTGGTCTAGAAAACATTTATAGGCCACCCATATCGACCTTTTTAGACCACCCATACCCATTTTCCGACCACCCATATCTTTAGGTCCTAACTTTTTTCCCTTTTTTTCTCAAAATGAAAATTCCAACCAATGGTGCTAAGTTTCAGTCCAGTCGGAAACAATAATAAAGACTGAAAATCAAAAAAATAAAAAAAAACTGGATTTTTTATAAACTTGTGATCCCAAATGTCTCTCAATTGTTTGGTTTGACCCAAAACAAAAATGAATGAAATTGTGGAAATTTCTAGAAAAAAGAGAGAACCGTTCAAAAACCGAGTTTTAATTTTTCAAAGAAAAAAATCATAAAAATACAAAAAAAAAGAAAATATGATGATGAAATGGGTGAATAACTCGTGGAAAACTGGAAAAAAAACCTGATGGTCTTTGAAGAAATGTTCTTTTTTTTTTTCCAGTTTCTGATCTTTTGGATTTCAATTTTTTCCAAAAATCAAAATTCCTGACTTTCCTGTAATTTTATAAATTCTGAATTTTTTTATTTCCAAAAATTCGAAATTCCAGGTATTCGGTATTATTGAATTTTCCAGGATTTCGGGATTATTTCGAATTTTCTGGAAAAATCTGAATTTTTGGGATTTCAAATTTCTGAATTGTCGGAATTCCTAGATTTTTTTCCCGAATTTCCGAATTTCTGAATTTTTAAATTTCTGGATTTCTAAATTTCTGAATTTCTGAATTTCGGAGTTTTTGAATTTCTGAATTTCTGAATTTCTGAATTTCTGAATTTCTGAATTTCTGAATTTCTGAATTTCTGAATTTCTGAATTTCTGAATTTCTGAATTTCTGAATTTCTGAATTTCTGAATTTCTGAATTTCTGAATTTCTGAATTTCTGAATTTCTGAATTTCTGAATTTCTGAATTTCTGAATTTCTGAATTTCTGAATTTCCTGAATTTCTGAATTTCTAAATATTTAAATTTCTGGATTTCTAATTTTCTGAATTTCTAAATTTCTGAATTTCTGAATTTCTGAACTTCTGAATTTCTGAATTCCTGAATTCCTGAATTCCCGACTTTCTGAATTTCTGAATTTCCGATTTTCAGAATTTGAGAATTTCTGACTTTCCGAATTT